TAGCTAACTTAAATTATACTTTCTTACTAGTTATTTAACTTTATAAGATTAATACTAATCAGTCTATTTAATATAGATAAGAAATTATTAAACCTTTTAATATTATTTTTATAAGTACGTTACTCTACTTTATCGCTAAATAAACCTTACGGAACAATAGCGTAAAGCTTACCAGCCTTAGTATAGAACCTATAATATGTAATGGGCGGGTTAAAATAACCATACACGCAGCTACTCGCGCCGTCCACTTAACCAAAAGGTTAGCACAATGTTACACGGGGTTGGGTGCTGATACTTCTCTAAGCTCGGTCCGGGTTAGGGCGAGTGAGATGGGATGAAGAGCTCCGTGAGGTTGTCTGGCGATTCGTAGTGGAAAAGAGTTATGGATGTAACCGGGTTTGACAACGCTAATCTATTGGATAGACTAACATGTAACTATCTTGTGAAGTAACAATACTAGTAAGAAAGTACAATTTGAGTTGACTACAACGAGAGTAATAATGAAATCCATCCATCCTTATATCCTCATTGCTTCCAGTCCTGCCATCTTGCCCATCTCTCCTTGGCGAGATGGTAGAGATGGCACTGCCATCTCTCGGCGTCCTGCCATCTCAGATGGCTGGCCTTGGCGAGATGGCACATCACGTGACTCCGAGCCCCGCGATGATCCATTACCTTTTGACGTGGACGTCCCTAGGCTTTCAGCCGTCTCGTCATTTGTCAAGGAGAGAATCCTTCTTGTTACTTGTAACATCTTACTAGTATCCTTACTTAACAAGATTGTCACAAGTTAGTCTATCAAATAGATTAGTCTTGTCAAACCCTCCTTAAGCACGCCAACTCCACTGCATCGCCAGACAAGCCTCACGGAACACTAACGTAATACTCACCTGCCTTAGTGCGGACCAGGATAGAGAAGTATAGACCCTTACCCCGTGTAACATTATATCTCTTAGGCTTATTCTAGTAATATACTAAATAGTTACCTAGTATTTTCTATACCTTCGCTCGTAAGCGTAGTATTATAAATACCTTAGCTAGTTATCTAACTATTTCGTCTATCTCTATATGTCCGTATTCTAGGGACTTATATAGGGTCTTAATTGTTAGAGATATAAGCTAATTAGCTAATCTCTGATATAATCCGGGTGCTCGGCACTATACTCGGATTCTTCAGTTAACTAATCCCTATACAATTCATCTATCTATTACGTCTATAGCTACGTAATCTACTACTAGATAGATTCTTCTAGAATCTAGTACAGCAAATATATATAGTAGTAGAATAGCTAGTAGATAGAAACTAGAGCAGATTACAAGAACAGATCAGACTACTAGATCAGATCAATCCAATCCTTATCTCTCTCCTCTAGCATTTCTCTCTTTTTATCCTAGAACCTATCGATTCGCTACCTCTGAGTCTATCGCTAGACAAGTAGACTACTATACCTCTGAGCTAGCTATAGAATAAGTAGCACCCTCCTTATTTTAATAGGTTATAAGCCTGGATTACGCGTTTAATCGAAGGTTCTAGCAAAGTCTACTATAGAAGGCTTAGCGTTCACGTAAGAACTAGTACTATTTAGGCTAGATTCTTAGCAAGAGCTAGGGTAATAATAAGGGTTAAGAGAAAACCACGGCTAAAAGAAGCTGAAAAACTCTAGATACTAGCAAAAACCCTATTGGTTAAAGAGTCTCCGAGCCTCTTACGAAGCTAAATACTCTAGTTAAGAGTTTATCTAAAGCTAGATCAGCTAATTGTAATATATCGATCTATATCGATTAGCAGCCAGAGTTCTTTATAGAAAGAATAGTAACTGTGATAGTATTAGTATATATACAAGCTTATCAGCCGATCTAGAATAATAGATTAAAATGGCTAATAGTATCTTTAAAGTACTAAAGCTTAAAGGGAGCTCAAATTTTGACATATAGGCACTGCGGATTCGATCTATTCTTATTTAGTAAGATTATGCTGATATAATAGATATAGATCTATCTAATCTTATATTAGATTAATATCTAGATACGTTCGACAAATTAAAAGAAAAGGAATCGAAGGCGCTAGCTACGATCAGACTAAGTCTCGAAGACGGACTACTACTTTAGACGAAGAAGTATACTAGTCTAGTAGAGCTATGGAATAATCTTGAAATCCTATACTCTTAGAAAGGGTTTATGTAAGGGGCTGCGCTCTGGGGAGCAATCGCGAGGTATACAAGAGGTTGTATTCGATGAGGAGCTAAGCTCCCAAGCTACGTAGCTGTCTATATACAAGCTGGTTACCCGAGTAACAATCGGACCGGTGAAGTCTAGGTGCACGAGGCAGCTTCTGGGTCCTGCGGCTGTCGTCTGAACGTCGTTCGGGCGGTGCGCAGAGAATCCGGGTGCTCGAGACAGCACCCGGGTTCTGCGAGTAGGCCGAGATTCCATCGAGGAGCTATCCAAAGGGCGTTCAGCCCGTTACAATACCCCCCTCCTTAGGGTGATACCGCATCGCCTCTCCGAAACCCTTCCGGGAGGCGGCCCTCGCTGTCTCGTTTGGTCTCTGTGAACGCTTCCCAACGATCTACTGCCTCAGCGTCCTCTAGTAGCTCCGCTGGTTCGAGCGTCGTTCGGTGGAACCCTTTCCACTTCACCTCGTAGTA